GCATGTTTATGCCCATTATAAAAGAGTTGGGTTCCTTAACTTCAGGGTCCCCTGTAACGTAACCCACTGCGTGTACAGTTGTCACCCAGCCCTCTTTGCGTCACCCAGTGGGAATTGGGGCTCTGAGAACTGGCACAAAAGCTGACACTGGCTACTGCTATTGCCATGAGTAATAAAGTTCTTTATTTCTGACCTAGGAGTCTTATGTCTTCTCCAGCATCCATGAAACTGCCAGGATTACTTGTTGACTTACAAGTAGGATAAAAATCTCAGATCTCCCACAGTTCTTGACAGTAATATAAAAGCCACTCTTCTCAGAACTGCAAAATAGGCCCTGCTGTAAATAACTTGTTGAATCTTAATCTAAATTAAGCCTGGGTCTCTGGAAACTTACCTGGACAAGGCTAGAATTCCTTACGACTACATACTATCTTCTCTTTTTTCCCTATTTTGCTTTCCACAAAACCAGATCATTCAAGTGAAAGGACTGTTATTCTGAGATTTCCTTCTGTCAAATGATGATGTTAACAGTAATCTCTTTTCCCCCCCTCTCTTTAGCAAAATAAAAGCATTGCTATTTTATATGGAGGAGCTACACTGACAAGCATGTTGATTGGTTTACTTAAAGCTGAAGTTTGGAATGTATGCCGTCTTCAAAAGAGAAATAGGATATTTGAGAGGATTTCTTTTTTCTTTTTTTTTTAAGTGTTCCATGTTTCATTGTTTGCATATAACACCCAGTGCTCCATGCAGAACGTGCCCTCTTTAATACCCATCACCAGGCTAACCCATCCCCTCACCCCCCTCCCCTCTAGAACCCTCAGTTTGTTTCTCAGAGTCCGTAGTCTCTCATGGTTCGTCTCCCCCTCTGATTTCCCCCCCTTCATTTTTCCCTTCCTGCTATCTTCTTCTTCTTTTTTTTTTAACATATAATGTATTATTTCAGAAGTACAGGTCTGTGAGGATTTCCTTTTTAATTTGGTTTTAACATCACAATTTTAATGATAAATAACCTAATAAACTAGATAAATAAAATAATGTGTTGGATGGTGACAAATGTCAAGGGGGGAAAGGGAAGAAAGAACAATGCTGAAATTTTAGATATTGTTGGCTAAGGAAGCCTCACCGAGGTGACGTTTGAGTAAATAACTGAAGTAAGTTAGAAGATGAGCCATTTGACTATCTGAAGGGAAAACATTCTGAGCAGAGAGAATAGTGAAGTAGAGAGGCTGTGCAGGACATGGAGGAGCCTGGGCTGGAACGCTCTGAAGACGGATGTTGAGGGGATTGTAGTGTTACCGTTTGTCCGAGCTGTCTTTCTGTGCCTCACCAGAGCACTTGCTTTTATACTTATCTGCTAGGTACTTCTTCACTTGAGGAAGGGGATTTTTTCCTTTAAAAATAATTTTGAAAACTACTGAATTAGATAACTGTTCTGCATTATTCTCTAGTTTTCACTGATGGTCTCTATAAGTGCCCATCCGTCTTTCAACAGTGAACCTAAGTCCCACATCAGCGTGGTTTTTTTAATTCAGCAGGTATTTGAACGCTGATTTAGACCTTACTTTATATGATTTGTTTTTTCACTTTCATGTGGGTTATATTCTTTATGTTTCTGTTGAAGAGAAGAGGCTGAGGCAGCCTGGAATAGAGAATAAGAGAGCATACCAACTAAAACCTCTCTAGCCAAGGTTTCTAATTATCCTTTGTTACTAAATGTAAAAGCTGGTTTTCAATTCTTGCTGACTTTGAAAATCAACACCATACCATTTCCTCCTTGAAACAGCATCCTATCCTTCTGGTTGTACCATTTATCTCAAGGCTTCCTCTTTCCTTGGGTTTATATCTTGACCACCTGTGCTACTCTTCTTACCTCTTTGGATACTCTGACCTACTTTATAGCCTTAGTTACCGCTATGTTGTTGATTCTGCGGTCAGGTTTTCTATCTAAACCCCATTCTTGAGCTCTAAGCGTTTATAATAAATTGGTTTCTAACATAATCCATTTTGATGGCCAGGGATTCAGATATCTAAAGCAACTTTTCATCTTTTCTCTACAAAGCAAAAAGAACTTGTTCTTTATTTTGGGAAAATAGTATCCTCGTCTAGTTGGTTAAGCTAGACTATGCTGATGTCCTTTAGTTAAAGACCATCAGGTACACACCCATAGGTAAACAAAGTTGGGTTTATTGATGCTTTCTGTAGCAAGGGAAGCCACATGGGGAAACATGGAGTGTCTTGGGAAGACCATGCTTTACAGACTTAGAGAATTTGGGCTTTTGTTAGGTAATTTGGGGAGAATTCAGAGAAGTGGTGGTGGTTTGCTTTGCATTGGGTACTGTCAGGAATAGGGATAATTCTATGATTGGGTGTCTTACTAAATCTTATCTAGGAGATGAGAAGGACAGGGTGAGACTAGGACTGTAATTGGTAAAGAAACAACAGTCACTCATGGCACCTGGGATTTTTTTGTGATTGCACAGAGACCTTGCTTTTATTGTACTCAGTCAGACTCAGACTCAGGCTTGGTTTTGCCTCACTTCCATCATGGACACAGAAGACTCATCTGATGCTGGTGACCTGTGAGATTCTGTCTGATAGAAAACCTCACAGCCTAGCTATGAGTGCTGGGCCACCTCCTCGCTGTAAGGGGCTGCTTTTCTCTCTTTCTAGCTTATTTGGAATAGATGTAAAAGATCAGGTACCATTTTGGCAGCAGGAAGATGGATGAAGAGTATTTTAGACAGGGTATATGAGCAAAAAATTTGCATGATATTGGCTGTTTATGTGTGAGAAGCAGCAGTGAAACTTATTCTACTTGAAATATATCAGTAGGATCTAGTGTTAGGTTGAGGCAGAGATGCCTAGTCTGTTTACTCCTTACCAGGAAAAGAGGGGTTAGAAGGTGTATCGATCTATATGTATCAATTACAATCACATAGAGAGTTTGTTTTTTTTTTTTTAAGATTTTATTTGAGAGAGAGAGTGTGCGTGAGAGAGCAGTGAACAGGCTGAGGGACAGAGGGAGAAGCAGGCTCTCCACTGAGTGGGGAGCCAGATGCAGGGCTTGATCGCAGGACTGCAGGATCATGACCTGAGTCGAAGGCAGACGCTTAATCGACTGAGCCACCCAGGCGCCCCACGTATAGAGCTTTTTAAAGCTAAATGTTTGCATGCTTACTGTGTGCCAGGCACTAAGTACGTAGACGATCTCTTTTAATTCCTCAGGTGAATTGGGTTAGAAATGAAGGATGCATATCTCTGGCATTGGGAATAAGAACCAAACTGGAGATCCAAGTGGGGCTACTAGTGTAGACTGTTGAGTAATGTTTAAGAGTATGAGTTTCAACATAATAGTTTGGGTTTGAATCCTGCTCCCTACCCACAATTAGTAGTTGTATGATCTTAAGCAGTTTACTGGTTTAACCCCTTAGAACCTCTGTATTTATACCAACCTCAGAGGGTTGGCAATAACTTAGTAAGTACAAGGTATACAATAGCTGCTATAACTGCTTTTATTGGCTCTGTGACTTTGGACCAGTCACAAAACTCTTCAGAGCCTCAGTTCTGATGTCACTTTACAGGTTTGGTATAAGGATCAAAATGTGTACATGGAAGTATTTTATAAACGGAAAGCACTATACAAATTAAATATGTATGTCTAGGATATTATCTTTCAAGTGATCGAATTTACTTAACAGGTAAAGGACTGTGATTGGGTTATGATGTTTTTGGGCCAAATTATACAGGGTCTTGAGTATTAGGATGAGAAATTTAGATTTGATGTTGTTGACTTAAGAAATTCAGCTGCCAGGGGGCGCCTGGGTGGCTCAGTTGGTTAAGTGTCTGCCTTCAGCTCAGGTCATGATCCCTGGGGCCTGGGATGGAGCCCCACATCGGGCTACCTGCTCAGCAGAGAGCCTGCTTCTCCCTTTCCCTCTGCCTGCCACTCTCCCTACTGTGTGCTTTCTCTCTCTCTCTCTGTCAAATGAATAAATAAAATCTTTAAAAAAAAAAAAGAAAAAAAGAAATTCATCTATCAGACAGACTTAGGAGCAGGGGGATGAGAGGACAAAAGTGGTGGCATAGGAAACGGGTTGGAGAGGGAGAACCTAGGGGTTCAAAGATCAGACTGAGGCAGCTGTTTCAGGCTAAGTAATGGTGGCCTAGATTAGTGAAAGGACAGTAGAAGTGAAAAATCTGAGATGTTTCTAAGGAATTAGTACAATTCAGGGGCGCCTGGGTGGCTCAGTCCTTAAGCATCTGCCTTCGGCTCAGGTCATGGTCCCAGGGTCCTGGGATCGAGCCCCGCATCGGGCTCCCTGTTCCACGGGAAGCCGGCTTCTCCCTCTCCCACTCCCCCTGCTTGTGTTCCCTCTCTTGCTGTGTCTCTGTCAAAAAAAAAAAAAATTAAAAAAAGGAATTACTACAATTTAGTTATGAGTTGAGTGTGAGGGATATAGAAGTAAGAACAATAAAGATTTCTTGAACTTTAACTTTGGAAATGAGTTGGTTAAATTTGTTTAGATATAAATGGTTAATAAGTTTGGAAAAAATAGCCTTGTGACAATGTACAGGATGCCTAGAGACTTGGCTTTAGGTATTTGGCTTTCCTCATAATGCAGGCCCTAATTTGTAATATGCAAAAAGCAAGGCAGTTGGAGAAGGGTACAAGTTTCAGTGGTAAGTTGTAAAGATTTTGGTTTTAGGTTAAAGTAAGTATAAATATGTTAGAAATATGATGAAAAACTTTGCTGTGCTGCAGGTAGAAGTGAAATTACTTTGAAATGCATAAAAAATGATAGATGGACAGATACATGATAAATATTGTAGAATCTCATTGGTGGGCATGTCGATGTTCACTATAAAATTCTTTCAACTTTTCTGCATTTGAAAGTTATAATAACAACATGTTAGAGGACAATAGAGATATGAACTCTGCTAAAAGCTGATCTTGAGAATTTCTCTTGCCTGACCTGAGACTTTTGTTTTCTCTGTAGGAACTTTCCGCTGTACTTTTTGCCATACAGAGGTAGAAGAAGATGAATCAGCAATGCCCAAAAAAGATGCACGCACACTTTTGGCGAGATTTAATGAACAAATTGAGCCCATTTATGCTTTGCTTCGGGAAACAGAGGATGTGAACTTGGCCTATGAAATACTTGAGCCAGAACCCACAGAAATACCAGCCTTGAAACAAAGGTGAGTGTAGACCTCTGCTCTTACCAAGAACACTTTTAAGCTGGCCCTTGTTTCAACTACCTGTACTTTGGAGAGCAGGAGTTAGTAAGTAATATACCCAGGAGACTAAAGATGGATGTTACATAGATTCTCAGTTTTACCACATTTGTCTTATTAACTTGTGCCTGTGATGAAATTTGTTTGTACTGAATGCAGAACAGTGTGGGCCTTGGGCAAAAATCTTTAGTCAAGTTTGACTTCAAGTACTCACTCTGCTTGGACCCACTGCAAATCAGCCAATTGTTAACTAATCCTAAATTGGAAGTGCCTCTTGGGGATATTTGAATTTTCCTAGCCGAGTTCTAAAGGATGAAGTTCTTTAAGGAATATAGCATTTGCTCTTTTTTTTTTTACTTTGAAGCACTTAACTGTACATTTCTTGTCTTCCTTTAGGTTTTTTTTTTTTTTTTAAGATTTATTTATTTATTTATTTGAGAGAGAGAATGAGACAGAGAGAGAGAGCACATGAGAGGGGGGAGGGTCAGAAGGAGAAGCAGACTTCCTGCTGGGCAGGGAGCCCGATGCAGGACTCGATCCTGGGACTCCAGGATCATGACCTGAGCCGAAGGCAGTCGCTTAACCAACTGAAGCACCCAGGTGCCCAGTTTTTTTTTTTTTTTTTTTGAAGATTTTATTTATTTGACAGAGAGAGACACAGCGAAGAGAACACAAGCAGGGGGAGTGGGAGAGGGAGAAGCAGGCTTCCTGCTGAGCAGGGAGCCTGATGCGGGGCTCGATCCCAGGACCCTGGGATCATGACCTGAGCCGAAGGCAGACGCTTAACAACTGAGCCACCCAGGTGCCCCCCCCATATGGTTTTCAGTGCAACTTCTTTGAAAGTATAGTAGGTATTATATATGGGTTAATACTTTTTACTGTGGCTCCCTAGTTTTATTAGTGTGCCCTAATGTTTGAATTACAAAGGTAACCTTGGTTTTGGCGTGCCATAGAAAGTGGTTTATATTCTTTTTTGAAACACATGCATGTGAATTGGGTCAGAGAATGTTCTACTCTGCCTCTTTTCTAGTGCCATGTTAAGGGCTTACAGTTTATACCCTTCCATAGAACCTGGTTTTCAGTAGCACTCTCAGTATTGTATATGCTGTGGTACTAATGTTATAGAAAAGCCAGTTCTGGGCAGTCCTGAGCAACTTGAATTTCTTTTGGATGGTTAAAAACAATCCAGTTGTACAGAAAGCTTTATATCTGTATAAGTTGTTATGAATTTTCTAGCCTAGTGTCATGGATCAGTTAGGATGCCTTTATCTATGATAACAGAAAACCAAACCAGAAGTGGCTTAAATAGTAAGAAAAACCTGTCTAGCATGAGCAGAAGGGCTGAGGTAGTATAGTTCAGAATTAATTTCACAGCTCAGTTACATACTGAAGGATCTAGGTTTGTTCCATGTTTATACTCTGATGAATTTAGCCTGTTGGTTTTCCTCTTGGGACCACAAGAGGAGCTAGCCTAAGATGGCTGTGTCTTTCTAAGTATCACATGTAGAAGAAAATGTCCAAATGTTGAAAAGGGGACTGTTTCTTCCTGGTGTCCTATTTTAAGATTGAATTAGGCTTTCCCAGAGGACAACTTTCATCCTACTCTATCCCCCAATGTCTCACTAGCCAGAATTGCTGTATATGTTTATTTCTAAACCAGCATCTGGCAAAGGAAGTGAGATCACATGATTGCTGCTTAGACTAGTAAAGGTTTACCTCTTAGGGCTGGGGAAGGTCCCTTAGTCCTTTGGAGCAAACAGCCATCGGTATTTGAATGAGACCGGTAAGCAAAGAAAGAAAGAAACCACAATTGGCAGGCAACTAATATCATCCACATCACAGATACCCTTAAATTTTCATTACTGGTCATTCAGTCTCTTACCAAGAAGTTATTTTTTATATCTTTTTCTGTTGACTTAAGTAATACCATAGTTCTGACATAGAAGCCTATGAGGGAAATTGATTTTACAAAAACATACAATTTTCTAAGCCTGTGGGTTATTTCATGTTGAAATATGCTTCAACATTCTCTGATTGTTTTCTGCTCAATGTAATACTATCTGTGAATTATTCTTGTGTTTCCTCCTCTATAGTTATTTTTCTGTTTATGCAGATGCTTTTCCATTACAATAGCATTCATTCAACACCACCACTGACATGCCATCTCTACTATTCTCCTCCTACTACAGTTCACCTCCCATTCGAGGATCTTTATTTATGAAGATATCCCTCCCTCCACGCCAGAGACAAGTCTTAGTGGTACAGCAATGCTAGAAGCGCGACAGTAGCTCTGTATCTAGTCACCTGGTTTCTCACTAGGAATGATGGTTACTCCAGGGATGAAGAAGAGTCAGGAAATAGAGGAAGTAGACAGGTTGTTCACTAGGGAAGAAAGGCAGAAATGGAGGCAGTCAAGAGAGCTAGAATGGAGTACCTGGAGCTGCAGAACTAAGTCCAGAACTAAGTCCATGCTTCCCCATGGTCAGGAGAAGGACCATTCAAACTAGGTTAGAAGGTGTTACCCTGGCTGAGATGGCCTCACCAAGCATTTGACAAGCTCCACTGCCTGGATATGACAGCCTGGAAGTGGTATTGATTTAGCCTTTCTGCACTGTAGGTTCTGCTTCAGAGCATAATGGTTCTGTAATAGCTATCTTGCCCCCAGTATATGAAGAGAAACATCAGTAGAGTGGTGTGAGAGCTCAGAGATGATAGTCATTCATTGATTTAAAAATAAAAAAATAAGTGGCTTCATTGTTACTTTGATTACTGATCTGTAACCAATTAAATTCTAGCTTATTCCTAGATTAGAAACCAGAGGCTGCCTCTGCAGAACTCTCAGTAGACTTAACCTAAGAGCTGATGGACAGTTCCAGCCTTTCAGCAAGTCAACCCTTTGGTGATATTTAAAGTCTTTCTGTCTCTTAAATGGAATTTTTTTGACAGTAATCTCTCCTTTTTTGTCATCTTTTACCTAACACTCACCTTAAAGATCTTTAAAAATTTTAGTTTTGAAATATTCCTCCCTCACCCCTGAGTGAGTTATATGTCTTGAAAGTTCTAAAATTTCTTAAATAATGTAAAAAATTCAAAACTGAATTGTCACTTTTGTCATCTTTAAGTAGAATGTGTACATTCTTTCCATAGAAGAAATTTAAATATGCAGAAGGAGTGAACCTACCTGTCTCATCTTGATTTTCTTCAGTGTCACATTTGCTGATAATTTAGATTTGTCTTTATCTGTGGTAAAGGTAGAAATAAAATCTGTGCACTCAACTAACTCTCCATGGTTAAAGTTTTTTTTTTAAAGTTCACCCAAATTTAAAAATTTGTTTGTGGGCACCTGGGTGGCTCGGTCGGTTAAGCATCTGCCTTCAGCTCAGGTCATGATCCCAGGGTCCTGGGATCGAACCGCACACTGGGCTCCCTGCTCTGCGGGAGCCTGCTTGTCCCTCCCCCTCTGCCCCCTACTTGTGCTTGCTCTCTCTCTCTAGTGCTCTCTCTCTCAAATAAATAAATAAAATCTTAAAAAAAAAAAAAAGAATGGGGAATGGATTGAAAGTGAAACAAGCAGATAAAAGAGGGAGCAGCCAAAAGACTGAAAACTTGACTTAACTAATAGAGATGAGGAAACGTAAGTGACTAGAGAAAGATAAGGAATGATCAGACCTGGAACAGGCTAAGAAGATCATGGGTGGTAGAGGTAAAAAGCAAAACAAAATAAACTGAGAAATAGATCATGGTTACTTCAGGGTGGAAATAATGGTTGGGGCTAGATGCCAGGGTCAGCATAGCTACAGAAATGGAAAGATACAACTCAGTAAAAAAGAGGTTAAATTGTGCATAATGATATACTTTTATTTGGTGAATAGCAGGAGGGGAACATTAATTCTAAGTTGAGGCCTGGTTTTGTAGAATACTTTTTTAGCTTCTCAGCACACAAAGAGAAAAGCACGCAGAACCACTCTGAATCCTTGGTTGAGATGGTAGAGGTTTTTAAAAATGTAATGTGTTTTGTTTGGGTTTTTTGTTTTGTTTTGATTTTAAACAGAATACTCATGAAAGGTGTGACTGAGAGAGATTTTTGCCAGCTAGTATCTTTAAGTGGATTATTATGTCACCTTTATTATTCTCCCCTCTCCTTAAGTAGATTAAACTTCTTAAATTATGAAACTTCATTCATTTATATATATGCCAGTGGACCCAGTGTTTGAGGAACTTAAATACAAGTATGATATCCTGAGTTATAAGAGAGGTTTCTCAGAATTGCTAAAGCATGTGTATATGATTACTAGATAGCATTTATTTGTGATTCTTCAGTAACCACCTCCTCAGCTGTGCTTCTTTTCCAACACCAAGACTTTAATTTTTCTTCTTCCTGCCATCTTCTCATCTTTTTTATAGCAAGGACCGTGCAGCAACTACTGCTGGAGCTGCTGGCCTGGCAGGTGGGCACCACCGGGAAGCATGGGCCACCAAAGGTCCCTCCTATGAGGACTTATACACTCAGAATGTTGTCATTAACATGGATGACCAAGAAGATCATCGAGCCTCACTGGAGGGGAAATCTGCCAAAGAGAGACCCATTTGGTTGAGAGAGAGCACTGTCCAAGGAGCATATAGTTCTGAAGAGATGAAGGAAGGTAAGAGTAGAAGTCAGTAAAATGAATATGGCTTGGGTTCAGTGGAAAATGAACTTGACTTAGTGGGCAATTCTTAGTTTTATTGGTAATTATATCTGTTTTACAAAACAATTGCATTATACCAGGAAGTAAGAAATTAAGCAATAAGCATTAAAACCAACCAATATATGTATTATCCTTCAACTTAGTGGAAATAACAAGTAGATTTTAAATCTCCATTTTTAGAATCAAGAAATTACCATTTCTTTGTCTTACTTTCATGGAAAAGTGCTGTTACATTCAAAGTGGCCAAATTCACCTGTTGTTTATTCTTCTGTTGCCCTAACTTATATTCCTTCTTATTTCTCTGAATTGGGAACCAAAACTATTTACCAGTCCAAACTTGTTTATGTTGTCTCCTCATAAATACCAGTGTGTTTGTGCCTACCTGAAATATATAAAAAGAAGCCACCTGAGTAAAGGATTAAGGATTCTTACTATCCAAGATCGACAGAACTCCATACTAGAAGATTTTGGAACTCTCAGTGATCCCTAAAGACTTAAGAATTACATAGTAACCAGCAGTTTGAGAACTGCAGCATTTTACTTTTTAAAACTTTAAAGTTAGTGGATTCAAAGACTATGTTTGGGCTAATGTAGAAAATGTGAGGCTCAAACTGGACAGAGATTACTCAGAAACTGGGAAGCAGAGATGAAAGGGAGTTTGTACATCTGGTTAGGTTTTGTCAGCATTAGAATCTACGTGGCCCTATTCCCAAGTTATGTATCATTGCTAACACATCACCTGAGTATGGTTCTTTAATCCCTGAAACTGAAAACCACTTGTTTTTTGGTATTTGTCCTAACCTCTTTTCCCTTTATATTAGCATTTAACTCTGTATGCTAAGAATTAAAAGGTAGTATGGAGTTAGGTAGTGATAATAAAATCAGATAATATCTCCAGTGTGATTCTTCTTGGTGTTTTGATTCCAATCAGAAAAAAAATTTTCTTTGGCAACCATACTTTACTCTCCCTCCTTCCCACTGATTATTAGCTTGGCTATGATGTTTAGTTATTTTGATTCAAATTGTTTTAGATTATATAGGAGTGACCCTGTCAACTATTTAGTAGGCTTGTTTTCCCCAGCTTGGCTTGCCTGTTCTTAAAGCTACCAAACCTTCTTTTCTTTGAACTTAGAAACAAAATTGAATAAAATAAAACTATTGTTAGCCCATATTATATACAATTAGGCTCATAAGCTTAACATTTATTGTTTATGATTCCTTGAATGCTAGAATTTGAATCACGAGGGCCTTTAAAAAGTTATCTAGGCTACCCAATTCTGAGTATTTTCTTTCTGTATAAAATAGGAGAGTATACTCTCACGTTTAAATTTATCTTCTTGGGATGCCTGGGTGGCTCAGTCAGTTAAGCATCTGCCTTCGGCTCAGGTCATGATCCCAGGGTCCTGGGATCAAGTCCCGCATCGGGCTGTTTGCTCAGCGAAGAGCCTGCTTCTCCCTCTGCCTGCCTCTCCCCCTGCTTGTGCGCTCTCTCTCTCTGATAAATAAGTAAATAAATAAAATCTTTAAAAATCAATAAATAAATTTATCTTCTTAATTTTTATGGTAGAATAGGCTCTAGTGAATGTGTTTGTCCTACACTTAATTTTCCTCAGACTTCAAGTTATTTTAATATCTTTTAGAGTTTTCTAGACTTTAATCATGTGCTCATTACTATACTGAAAGCATAGTAATCTATTCTAATCCTGTTTGCTTCTACTTTCCTTACAAATAGTCCTCTTCCCCCAAGCCACCTCCATCTACATTTTTTATTTTATTTTAATTGTCTTTTTCTGGACCTTCTCCAACCATAATATACTTTACTTTAGATCTAGTAACCAGAACACTACATGTTGTTTATGGATGGATTCATCATTAATGATTTGAGTTTTACTTACAGTGTCCTTCTGGTTTTTACCTGATGCTTTGTTGCTTTGGGTCTGGAAGCATATTAAGACCAACAACTTTGAAACATGTGCAGAGAATTTTAAAGACCCTCCCCTGCCTTGTATCAGATAGCTTGGACCAGGTCTTTCAGTATGTTTTAGATTGTTTTTCTATAGGCAGATTTTCTTACACTTGCCAGTATAGAAATAAATCTGCCAGTTTTCTGCCCACTTCAGCTCTTCCTCTTTTTTTTTTTTTTTTTTTTTTTTGCCATCAGCTTGGCCTTTAAGCATCCAGAATTGCTTAGCATCATCAGTGAACTTGACAGTTTCCCATTATATATGTCTTTTTTATAACTTATAACTGTTAAATAAGACTGTTGCTAAAACTAGTGTTTCTATTTTACCATCCAGATTTTTGCTCATTTATCCTTATTTATTGTTGTGTGTCTTCATCTGTAAGAGAGAAGTTCCTTTTTTCCCCAGACCTCTCAGGACCCTTGTCATAAATCTTTTAGATATGATGATTTAGTTTACAAAACTAAATTGCTTTTCCCCTAATTTTATATTTACTTTAAACATTAATCAAAATAGTATGTTGGTAATATTAAGCTTATTGGAAAAATCTTAAAGAAGCGATGATTGCCTTAGAGACAATTCCTTGTCTTTTTTTTTTCCTATTGAAATACTGCATCGGCAGTAAGGACTCTAGGAATGAGCCTCAGCCCTTAGCAGTGTTTTAAAGTAGTGAAGTTTGATTTTAATTCTCATTTTCACATCCATGTTATCAAAAGCCTATTTTCTCTGACTTGAACTTTTAACTTCTCAATTCCTCTTTCCCTTTCTGTCTCTTAAGCTGCCCAATCTCATATCTCAGGAGTTCTACACTTTCTAAATCGTCCAAGGTTATGCTAATCCATTCTAATGTGCTAATGAGAAGATACTTAATTCATGGCCAGAATTGGTCATTGCCGTGCCTTTTCTTGGTGATGATGTTGATGATAGATAACACTAAACTAAATGCCAGGCTCTTTCTAAACACTTCACAGATATTCACTTAATCCCCACATTTATCCAGTGAGGTATTTACTCATTTTTCCCCCCTTTGTACTTGAGAAAAATTGAAGCAGAGAGAGATGAAGTAACCTGGCCAAAATCATAGTTAATAGGTGTTAGAGTCAGGATTTGAATCAGGGAGTTAGGTTCCAAACAGCATTTTTAATCCTTTTACATGTTTTAAATAGCAGTATACTTGGTACTCAGAATACAGAATACAAATGTTTTTCTTAAATTTTCATCTGTAATTTTTCAGGCCTCATACATACACAAAATGATAGGAGGTGTGTGGTGAGAGAAGCTTCATTCCTTTTTATAAAGAGTTCAAAGTACACTTAGTTTGTTTCAGGAAAATAAAACTGCATTTATTCACTCATGTATTTATTTGGTGCCTAATAAGTGATAGGCACTATTTTGCATACACGGGATATATCATTGAATAAAAAAGATAAATATCTGTTTGTGGAGAACCTATATCCTGGGGAAGGAGGTAACAAAGACAATAGACAAGAATTATTATGTTAGAAAGTAAGTGCTATGGGGAAAAAAAATAGAGCATTGGGAGTTTAGGGTGGGGTGAATTATAAGAAGGCGGCATTTGAATAAAAACATAAAGGATGTGATGGTGTTAGCTATATAACATGGAGGAAAAATATCCCAGGTAGAGGAAACAGGGAATACAAGGGGGCCTTAAGGTTGGAGTGAAGTGATATGTACAGGGAATACCGTGGGGCTACTGTGGCTAGAGAAGAATGAGCAAAGGGAAAGAGAAGAGGTGAGGTAGGTAGGTGAGCAAGTGAGCGGGAGGGGTTCCAAATAAGGTAGGACTCTCTAGGCCATTGTAAAGCTTTTGGCTTTTACTCGAAGCAAGGTGAAGAGCCATGTTTTGATTTCCTATTTTGCCAAGCTATGGTACTTGGTCCTTCATAGACATAATTACATATGTTCTTATCCAGAGCTCTGTAAGGTAGTTGTTTTTATCACTCCCTTTCACAGGAAGAGGTACCGAAGTTCACAGACTAAAAACTCACCCAAAGTAGTACAGCTTACATCTAAAAGGACCTGGATTCAAATCCAGGCTATGTTATTCTTTTTTTTTTTTTTTTTTTTAAGATTTATTTATTTATTTTGAGAGAGTGAGAATGAGAGAGAGAGAGCACATGAGAGGGGGGACGGCCAGAGGGAGAAGCAGGTTCCTCGCTGAGCAGGAAGCCTGATGTGGGACTCGATCCCGGGACTCCAGGATCATGACCTGAGCCGAAGGCAGTCGCTTAACCAACTGAGCCACCCAGGCACCCCAGGCTATGTTATTCTTAAAACGCATGTGCTTAAACCATGCTACTTAAGTTCCAGTTTGTGAGAAATATTTTGAATATCTTATGGACAGTTGCTCAAAAACTGGAATCAGTGAGGTCTATTAGTTTTAAAGAAATGCCTTTTATACTTAAGGACATTGACTTTCTGGATTTTTCTTTCCAGGTGGCATAGATATAGACGCATTTCAGGAGCATGAGGAGGGCCGTGCAGGGCCAGATGATAATGAGGAGGTCATGCGAGCACTACTCATTCATGAGAAGAAGACCCCCTCGGCCACGGCAGGCTCGGTGGGGGCAGCTGCTCCCGTGACCCCTGCCAATGGCAGTGACTCAGAGAGTGAGACCAGTGAGTCAGACGATGACTCCCCACCTCGACTGGCAGCTGTGGCAGTGCATCATCGGGACGAGGATGAGGAGGAGGATGATGAGTTTGAGGAAGTTGCAGATGACCCCATTGTTATGGTGGCTGGCCGTCCGTTCTCCTACAGCGAAGTGAGCCAGCGGCCAGAGCTGGTGGCCCAGATGACACCAGAGGAGAAGGAAGCATACATAGCAATGGGACAACGCATGTTTGAGGACCTTTTTGAGTGAGCTTTCCCTACCTTTTTTTCCTTTCTCTAAAGCTCATTTCAAAAAGAAATTCCCTACCCTTGATGAAAAGTGTTTAAATGGCATTCTGCCCTTCTCGAAGTAAAGCAGCTAAACAATAATGGGAGAGAAAGTTTGACTTTTATGCCAGAAGCTTCCCCACAGGGAGGTTGGCTGTATAAGCATTTCCTTCCCTGCTATTATTACAGTATATCTTACTGTATTTCATATTTACCTGATCTTTTTCCTTTATAAGACCCATTTTTCTCCTTTCTGAAATGAGCGCAGGAGATCTGTGAGGTAAATTCTTCCTGTCTGCCTGTAGAAGCCCACTATGATAGGTTACACTAATTCACTGATCACATCCTTTTAAAAATCTGTTCTGACCAAGCATTCCAAACAATTCCCAATATTGCTGCCAAGCAGCTTGGCAACAGGCAAATCACTGGTGAGAGATAAAATAAGTCTTAAAACTGCATATTGCCACATAGTTGAGGATTGTAGTCAATATGCAAGGGGAAGGGAGGGATGGATATGCCTAAAGCTCATGATTAATATCTAAACCAAGATTTGTGTCTTTAGAACTGACTTGACTGATAAAGTCTGTTGTTTTGCTTAATGCCTTTTGGTTTGGATGTTGGATGATAGAAAACAAAGTACACTTGGTAAACCCTTATGAGGAAATTAGTAAAAAACATGGATATAGGATGAGGAGTTGCTCTACAGGGTTGAATTGTGGAGAGCATTGGGAACAGTGCCTTTTAGAATTGCCTGAGTTTTTGCTGATTTGGAAATCCTTTATGGAAAGCTAAGACTGGTCCCTTTCCTTTTCCTGTCTTTTACAGTGCTATAAATTGTTTAATGAGACCATTCCAGCAGAAATCAGCATATAACAAATGATTACTTCTCTCTTTTCTCTCAACATCATTGAAGTCCTTCTTTGTCTCTCTTTTGATTCTTGTTGGACCTGGTGTTTTAGAGTGCATCCAGTACATTATTGAACATTGTAACCTCAAGGAACATAGTTTATTTTTGGTTCTGATGTGTAGCATGGTATTATTCCCTAAAGCAGAACTTTAAAAATAAAGAACTTTCATGCAAGGGTCTATAGCAATTGTATTTTTTGTAATATTTTTCCTTGCATTGTAATTTTTAAGTATTTATCATTTTATAGTACATGCGTGAAGATAGATTTTAGAATATCTGAGCCTTGTATGGAGTGATGTTTCATTTATCTGGGTTGTATTAATGACTGAATACTGACAATAAATCTATTTTATACTGACTGAAATTTGTTAATTTCTAGCCCTGTAACATCTTGGAGCATAATTAAAATGAATACTTTTCCCATTAAAGCAATGTTTCAGACTTCTTTCTCTTAATAGTCATATTTTCAAATAACAGATGCAGTTGTTATGTGGTCTAAATTTTTTCTGGCAATAAGCTGCCTTAAGAATGACTTTTTGTGGGGCACCTGGGTGGCTCAGTTGGTTAAGCAACTGCCTTCGGCTCAGGTCATGGTCCTGGAGTCCCAGAATTGAGTCCCACATCAGGCTCCCTGCTCGGCGGGGAGTCTGCTTCTCCCTCTGACCCTCCTCCCTCTCATGCTCTCTGTCTCTCATTCTCTTTCTCGCAAATAAAAAAAAAAATCTTAAAAAAAAAAAAGAATGACTTTTGTGTATGTATCTTGCACGTATGGGCCTATTCAACTTTTAAACATTGTTTTTAAATTTTCATAGTTCTAGAAAGAAGTTCATTTAAATAAAATATGAATCAGGTGTTTTAAAACAAAGTTTTAGGGGCACCTGGGTGGCTAGGTTGGCTAAGCTTCTGACTCTTGATTTCAGCTTGGGTCATGATCTCAAGGTCATGGGACTGAGCTTTGTGTTGGGCTTTGCACTCAGCGGGGAGTCTGCTCAGGATTCCCTCTCTCCCTCTGCCCCTCCCCCGTGCTTGCTCGCTCTCTCTCTCTCAAATAAATAACAAATCTTTAAAAAAATAATAAAATGTAGTTGTAGGTGAACTGTCAGCTCTTTATATCAGTGAATAGATATTTCTTGGTATTTTTTCTTGAGTCTAACAACTTGCATGTTCTGCTTCCTAGAGCTACTGTTCTAGTTTTTCTGTTATCTACCAGCTTCTTAGATATCATATAAACTAGTTGCATATTTCTTTCCTCTCCGTTTTGCGGTTTGTGTCTTGTCCTATTACTACACTGAAATGGCTTTCTCCAGTCGTAATTGTCCAACATAACAAACCTTTATTCCTCAGTCTTTTTGGCTGCTTTTCAGTCTTTGATGCTATCCAACCTTTCTCCTTAAAACATTTTCATTTGGTAACCTAGCCATTATGCTGTCTTGGTTCTCCTTACTTCACTGGCTATTCCTTCTCAGTCTTCAGACTTTATTTCTTCCTCTGCTATATATATGAGCATACCTCAGGCCTGGTTCATCTGTGTGTGTGTGTGTATGTGTATGGAATTTGTGTTACAGAAGAATGTCATGAGTGAAGACACAAATATGAAAGTGTTTATTGCATTCAAACAGTTGCAATAAATAAATAAATGAATATAGATATACTAAATATGCATTGATCAGGAATTGAACTATGTTCCCATGAAGTCCTGTAGCTGTTAAAAAGAATGTATTGATGGGAAAAGATATCCATTATGTGTTAAGTATAGAAGGATTCTGTTTTTCTACATGTGTATGTGTAAAGAAGAAAGTTTCTAATAGTACTTACAATGTGTCTTTACATATGTTGACTCATTTAATCCTGTATAACAAATCTGTGAGGTAGATATTTGTATTTAAAGATATATATAATTAGGGATGACAATTACAGTGGTCCTAATGTGTTATAATGGGAAAGAGACCCCCATTTTAGAAAAAGGATCAAATAGATATTTAAAGAAGTTCATGTAGAAAATGTGCAGTAGAATTAAAGGAATAGGGTAACAAAAGCAAACTTTTTATATTAATACTAGGACTTTTAGGTGTGACTTACTTTTTAAAAATCCTGGCTTCATCATTTCCTTAGAGAAATATCTCTGATTTTATGCTCAAAATTAATAGAAAAATATAATTCAGTATGTAAAATTTTGGACTTACCCCCATATTTCAACAACATACCTAAGGACTCAATAGAGTTTGACATTACTTCATCAGACAGATTTATGTCTATTGAATGGCACAATAATCTGGTGAGAAAAGCCAGTAAGTGACAAAAATGACTGAAAATGGGAACCCTGACAGTTATCAGCCTCTGAAGCTCTAGTAAGGGCAAGCTCACACACGAGGTTCATCAGTAGATGTAGTCACAGTGTCTGTTGATCTCAGGATGGCTGGAATTGTTAATACCTACAGCCTATAATAAGGGATGGCCAGGAACTCGTCTCTGAGTGAAGTTGGCTCTATTATTATAACTCAAGTATCAGCTGCCAAGGTGTCCCAACCTTTCACTCTCCCGTAAGATTTAAATAGAACACTTTTAATATCACGGGATACTTCTCCCAATTTCATTTCTTTTTTCTTTGGTGGGGAGAGTTGTGGAAGGGGGTCCTCCTGCTCTGCCTTCTTGCTTCCCTGGCTTCTCTGCCTCTCCTCCACACCACCTATTCCAACTCCCATGGTGCCATCAGCACAAGTCCATGTAGCAGATATTCACTGAAGTTTTTACAGTAGTGGACAGGAGGTAGGCAGTGAGGGGATGTCCTGTCTCAGCATTGCAGGTCAAGGAATATAGGAGTAGATCATATATATCCTTGTTCTTAAAGAGTTTCCACCATCCTCACATGTTTCATCCCAAGTAGAGTTCTGCCTTCAAATCTTGCTAAATTTCAGCTTTGTTTCCTTCTCTTCACCCTTTCTTTCCCCCAAAGACCTTGGAAAGTTAATAAATATATTAGAGAAAATAACATTATTTTATTTCTTTTTTCAAGTTGTACCTTGAAAGCTCTTATATCCAAAGCGGCCTATCCAAGATGTTTCCCTAACCAAGGAGCCATTTTCCCACTCTTAAGAGTCAGCATGAGAGGTTAACTGGCTTTAAAAGGAACTTTTTTCTCTTCCCACTCCACTAAATAATATTATTCATTATACTTTGCCAAAAGTCAGGTGATGAATAAACAGTCTAAGTCTTTAGGTGATCCATAACCTTATATTCGGTGGAAAACTGCTTTCATTCTATCTGCCCTTGAAGTGGAAGACTTTTTCTCATTTAGTTGCCCCCTTTTTCCCAAAATAATACTTAGGGAGTATTTCCACTACTTAAGGAGTATTAAGTTCAGATTATTTAAAAAAAATTATCCAATTTGGCATGCCTGGAGCTCAGAAGACTAGGTTCTGGTCCCCGCTCAAGTTAAATAGACACTTGCTGGGTGACACTGATGCAGTCTTTCTGGGCCAGTTTCTCAAAGCTGTCAATAAGGAGAGGATTATGCTAGAATCACAGTGATTCCTTTCTGCTCTGATATCTTATGGAAGTAAATGCGGCCTAATAACAACACAATCTGAGAAGTTTTCTGATGTACAATAGCAATTCAAACGAGGTGAAGGATATTTCAATTGAGGGACTACTGTAGGTGGTAGGTTTAGGATTTAAAAAGTAGCAAACTTCATCCTAAACATTTGCTCATTAGGTTTCTCTTTTCCTATCTTGCCAAAGTACTTCATTTCTAATAATTTGAATGACTGAGGAAGAAATAATTGAATATTTCATAACTTTTTGGTATTGTTTTGAGAGAATTGGACAGTGAATGGGAACAAGATTGGGAAGAGCAGTTCATTTTCTTTTCTACCAGTTGGCTTTATGGCTAGATTTCCAGCCAGGACAACAATAGACAGACTTAAATATATATTTTCTTGTTCTCTTTATTCCTAAGTTTAAAAAAGTAATTAAGAAGTGGAAATCCAAAAACAAATATGAAAATCTTTAGAATTTAGAAACTGGTCTAATTCCACCTTCTGTTTGTTTAGCATTTTGTTTCCACCAAAGCTATTTCACTTGTATTATCTCTAGCAGATCTCTAGCTGGGCTGCAATCAGTTTGTTTTTCTTTACATACCTAAAAGTCTCTTGGGGAAATGAGAAAGATTTTCAGAAAGGAATTGGTGTTATGGCAAATTTACTGTCTGTTCTGTTGGCCTTTTATATTATGAAAAAAGCAAACTGAACAAGATAAGTACAGGTACTCTTAAACCATGTAAAGGCAAATGGGTTGAGAAAAGAGTCATGAAATTTTATTTCTTCCTTTGAAGAACTAAAGGAATGAACTGTTTCTGCTATGCCCTCAAGGAAAGATGAGTACCTTGAACCTATCTTTAGAAAGAGCTTCGCATCCTTCTGAGTACTAGAGGATCCCTTTCTTCTTCCAGATGCAAAGCAGATAGGCCTAGTACACGACCCAGTTTCAACAATCAACCCACATTTCCCATCACACAAAAGTACACTATTGCCCACCTAATGTAAATAAGTCTG